AAAACATTTTTCATTTTGTAACTTCGAGGGCCCGTTACTTGGTAACGAAGGATTTTAGGAAAAAAAGTTATATGAAGTACTGGTGATATTTTGACCCCATCTATACATTCCCGAGAGGAAAAGAGGAAGTCCAGGGACACCCTGTATAACATACAAAAGTGAGAGCCTAATAACAATTAAATAAATACCGGTAAGTACATATTGAAGTAGTGAAATGACTAGTTGACAAGTGGATATAGTTCGAGTAAGACGTTTATATCGCTTGAAGATCCAGTCTCTCACGCTGCCAAACCGTTTCGCCCCATGAGAAAAGGACCTAACTTGTTTTACTATTGTTCCCTTGCACTAATTTGTCGGATCAATATTGAGAAATAAATCTTACCGTCACAACGTAAGACAGACCATCCCAAGTCATCCTTGCCACAGAATCTTTTCTTCTAACTGTAACTTCCTTATTATAGGATTCCGGAATTGAGTCAGTCATATCACTTGGCCCAGGTAGAACATCAGGCCTTTCGGTCGTTAGATGGCCCGATATTTGATTGGCTGGCTGCACTTCAGACATAGTTCTCCGATGTGAGTAACGACTGATTGTTGGACTACAGTATTCTTCCTTCAAAGGACCCATTGTCCTGAAATGAAAGAAATAATATACTCACAAGCGACGCTTTAAACATGAAAAGAATATCATTTATTTATTTATTTGCCCTAACAGACCACATATGTCTAATTACAAGGATAACCTTATTACTTGCAATATAATACACTAAAAAAAAACGTAAGTCAACATAAGCCAAGCCTAGGGACTCTTGTCGGCCTCTTTTTGTCTCTAACAGAATCCTAACTGTGGTCTCCTTATTTATTTTTGAGACAATCTGCCTTCTCTTTGAAAATAGGAACTTTTTTAATAACTTGGACGAGCCAATGTATCAAACCAGGCAAAGATTCGGCTTTAAATTACTGCTTCCTTCTTCGACCCTAGTTAAAGATTCCATTATTTACAACGGTCTTAAAATGTTCAATTACCTTCCTCAAGCTATAAGAACCATAAATGACCTTAGCGCTCTTAAGAAAGAGTTGAAAAACTTGCTTTTTGTGAGACCTTATTATAGCTTAGCAGAATTCTACAATGATAATTTTAATTGAGTATGACTAACTGTAATATCTGCGGAAATATATACAGTGTGCCCATTTTTAATGGAAACACCCCCCTAAAATTTGAAGTTGTAAATCGATTTTAATAATTTTTTTTTAATGTCAAGAACTAAAAGGTCTACCTTGGGACAAAATTTGAAATGTTTATTAAAGTTTCAGGGCATACTACGATATTTTTTCTTAGTCGAAAATCGGGATTTTTTATTAGCGATTTTTTTNCGCTATTTTTTCATATTACGTACTGGTACTGAAGAGGGAAAGAGGCAAGTGTCTTATTCCGAAACAACGGATATCCTCCATTGAGTTTGACAGTGTTCAATGTTAGTGAAATTTCACCTCTTTCATATACTAGGATATTGTGTAGGAATCCTGTTAATTATATCTGATTCAATTCTATTACGAATGTTTCAAATACAAACTGAATAAAAAAAAGGGCTTTTGTATAATTGAATGTTCATTTTTTTCTTTCATGTGATCCAATGTTTATATGAAAGCAATTGTTTCTACAAATGTTTGTGAAGAGTTTATTTTGAAAATAATTGCTTTCTTCCTTTCTTTGGAAGATTCCCACATTTTTTTTATAAAGATGGAGTAGGGAAAAGCCAAAAACTTTTTTCCCAAAAATTAATCCCTCCTGAAAATATACCCCTTCAATTCAAATGAAAAAACCTGTTATGGAGAATCGTCGAATCACTATTAGAAAAGTTGCTGAGGATGTCGGGAGATCGATTGGCTCGTGCTATGCAATTTTCTGGTAAATTTTGGGCATGTTGCACGTGGCAGCGAAGTTGGTTCCGAAATAGATGAAGTTTGATAAAAAAAAACGTCGTCGCATGAGCATACCTCAGGAATTGTTGAAGGTCGGCGATCCAGATTTGCTTTAAGGGGCATATCTGGTGACGATTCATGGGCATAAGGTTATGACATCAAAACCAAAGTCCAATCGTCCCAATGCCAGAGAGCCCAGTCGAAGCTCTCTAGCTTATAGAGACAGGCTTGTCTGGCTATCAGTGGTGCCATCAGTACCACACCGTAATCGGCCATGGAGATCCTTCTAGATCTATCTCCTCTCCACATTTTTCTGGAGAGAGAGGCTAGATGGACTGCATACAGACTTGTGCACATTGCCAATTGACACTGGAAGTCACAGCATTCTGGAAATGACCTCTGACTTTATGCCTCCAACTTTCAACTACGAACTGCCTTATAAAGTACTGTTCCCGAGAAGAGAGGACTGGATCCTCCGGGAGAAGGAAATATTAAGAGCAGATAGTTGTTGGTTCACAGATGGATCAAAAACACCTTCCGGTTCTGGTGCAGGAACTTGGCTCCTACCGAGCAACGTCTAAATTGGCAGCAAATTGCCAAAAACGACTCTCCTCGATAGGAAGACTCTACAGATTGTCTGTCACTGGCATCACTTTAGGCTTTGTCAAGCAAACATTGAACACCTGGATGACAAGAAGATTCATGGACTTCTGGCAGAATCTTCCAGGATTGGCTCACTCCAAGGCGTTTATTCACCCTTCGAAGCTTGATACCAAACAGTTGTTGGACTACAGTAGGGATGAATTACGATGTATAACAGGCCTTCTTACAGGTCTCTGTCATTTGAATCATCATATGCAGAGACTTGGACTGTTTGTCAATTTCACTTCAAAATAAAGTATTCGTGCATTCATTTCATTATCCCAAATTTCAATTTTTTGAGTTGACCTGTTCAAAAAATAAAAGGGGAGAGGACATTAAAGAAATGCACTGTATATGTTCGAGCAATAAATATCAATTCCTTTTATTCGATTCTAAGAAAGGATTTTAGGCATTTGGGCGAAAATAGAGAGATATACAAATAGCTTATTAATGTGAAGACTGCAGAAAAAGCAATAGAATATTGCTAATATTTTTGTCTGACAGTGGTTTTAACTTATCACGAAGGAATAAGAAAACCTATCAACCAGTTCAGTTTGTTCAGGAATAGGCAGTTATACCAAATTCAGGGAGACTTACTAATATAATGATTCAGAGACGCGCTGAAGTATAGAGATTTATTTTTTCCAAGTTTTTTACCCCTGTATAAAAGAAGCACTGTTGTTAAACTTGTGAAGACTAAATAAAAATACAGTATCCTCAAGGATATTTGGTTAAAACATTTCCTCATTCCATTTGATCGACTAGGAGATACTGGTTGTTAAATTAACCCAGACAATCGGGAGTTTTGGCCTGTCACACATTTATTGAACATAGTTATCGTCAACCCACCTATCGATGATACGCCCTGTATATCTTATCCCAATTACAACAACAAAATCACGATTATATCCAACTGAAATGAAATTGAAAAGAAACAAAATAAATGATATCATAACTTTCAAATATTATATGTTCCAACTAGAAAAATTGAAATTTGGGATAATGAAATTAATGCATGAATACTTTATTTTGAAGTGAAATTGACAGATGGAACTTTCAAGATGGCGACTGGGTGCCATCTGAAAAAAATTAAATGGAAAGTGTTCAAAAAATAAAAGGGGAGAGGACATTAAAGAAATGCACTGTATATGTTCGAGCAATAAATATCAATTCCTTTTATTCGATTCTAAGAAAGGATTTTAGGCATTTGGACGAAAATAGAGAGATATACAAATAGCTTATTATTGTGAAGACTGCAGAAAAAGCAATAGAATATTGCTAATATTTTTGTCTGACAGTGGTTTCAACTTATCACGAGAAAATAAGAAAATGTATCAACCAGTTCAGTTTTTTCAGGAATAGGCAGTTATACCAAATTCAGGGAGACTTACTAATATAATGATTCAGAGACGCGCTAAAGTATAGAGATTTATTTTTTCCAAGTTTCTGTAATTAAAGAAAATGATTCTTACCGAGCAGTCAGCTTGGGAAGATTGTACACATCCTGAATCGTCGTTCCTTATACAGCACGCCGTCTCTCGTTCCTTCGCTTGAATTTTTTCAATTTCTTTCTTGATTTTATTGTCGATTCTCATGCAGGGCGCGAATTTAGCTCCGAGATGTATTAAATCACCAGCTCTTGGACCCAACCTGTTAAATATTATTATTTATTATAAAGTGCATGTACAGATACTCAAAATGAGTATTACTTAACAATGAACATTTGAAATTCAGATACTATCATTGAATGCAAGTTGAACAACATCTTCCTCTTAAATTGACGGTACATTTCTTATATTGGAGCCAACGTAGGTGTTTCATATGACACCCAGAAAATTCTAATTNTCTCTATGTTCATTTTGCGTAAGTAGATTTTTAAAGCTGCTATTGAAGGTGAATTAGTGGATAACTTGAAAAATCTGTTGGAATGTATTTTTTCACTATTCAGCTCAGAAATCGAAACTAGTGCGATCTACGGAATAACGAGGTCTTACCATTCAGAGTGCGATTCCTAGCATAGAAGTATCCTTAGTTCTTACATTCAATGTTTGGTCACAGATTCTATCAATATGTTACATGCTTCTTTGAAATGATAACAATTTGATCATACTCCACAGTATATTAGTTTCTTTTGAACTGGGAATACTTGCCATACAAGGTTTATTAATTCGTGAAGGAATCTTTGTGAATTGAACTCTGACTTACCAGAAATTGGCTGGTTCCATATAGTCTACTTGTTGTAGAGATAAGCTTGTCACTAAAACTTGCGAAGATTTAGACTGAAGATCTACTCCAAATTGTCCAAATCCGTAACAAAATATAGAGATGAACAGTACTAAAATTTGTACAGTAGTTACCCAATATGTGAACATAGGTCGATGGTCTTCCATGTCATCAAGTTGTTCTTGTATTTTCATATCCTGTGTTACTGATTTCCTGAAGGATCGGCTGGAAATACAAATGACATAAATAGTACACTAAAAATTACAGATCATGGTTGGGGTTACTGCAAATTTAAATATTTTTGTCAAGTGAAGAAAGCATCTGCTAATTTAAATAAGACATACAAAAAAATAAGTGAAATTTCAACTATGAAAAACTGTTCAGTCTTATTTCCCAAACATGGAAATAACTGATACAAGAGTGAAGAGACCACTTCCAATACTATGGAGTATTACAATGAAGTATAAATTGAACTACACGAAAAACTTCTCAAAGGCTAACAGGTTGGAAATAAAATACGTGAAATGAAAAATATCATGTTGGAATTGAAAAAAAACATAAATGTTATGACTTACCCAAACATTTTACCAGCCCATCCCATTCCATATTGCCTTCTGTCTGAATTATCCAAAACTCTGTCGAACATATTAGACGGTATTCGTGACCCTCCTATATTAGGTCGACTATGTCCATGTCTCAACACTACATCATCAGAATCCCTTATTCTCCAACCTCCTGAGGGTGGTTCTGCATATCTGATTCTGTCTCTAGGAATGGGTTGATTAGATTCTCCTCTATCGACTGTGTCACCACCAGCTTCGGGAGTGTGTGGAAAAAACGGCGTAGGCTTTTCAAAGAATACTTCTTCTTCTTCCGGCGAAGAAGGAGTGATTGGTGTTTCTGGTGGAAAACTCCTGGACGATTGAGACGTTCGAGACCGTGGTCTAGGTCTTTGTCTGGTTAGTGTCTGAAATAGAAACGTTTTGATGATAAAACTTTTGATTGTGTTAACCACAGAACACTGTTGCGGAAGCTGCATCATAAGGGAATCGCTGAAAACTGTTGAAACCAATAGTTGTTCAAGTATAAAGAATGTGAAAACGAGAGTGCCTCAGGAATCGATCTTAGGACCTATGCTCTTACTAGTACTCTTTTTAGTAAGTGTAAATGACCTGGCTACTGTACGTATTTCTGGTATTTTTACCATTTTTGCAGATGTTACCACACTTTTGTGGCATAATAAAAATATACAAAATTTATTCGAAAGTATCTGTAATGACCTCAGAGAAATTAAACAATGGTGTGATGCAAATTTGTTGTCATTCAACACAAATAAAAAGTTATATCTATTGGTCTTTTGGAACACAAGGTTCATAAACAGGCCAATAAGTATACAACATACAAAAGTGAGAGCCTAATAACAATTAAAT